AACCTCCTTCCTGAGGGGAGTGGGGCAAAAAGTGTGTGTGCTGGGTGGGTGGGGTCCTTCATGATGCAGGTGGCCCTCTTCCTGCATCTGGAGGTGTATGGCAGTCTGGTAAATGCCATGGTAAATGGCAGTCTAAATAAAAAAATGCTTTAAAAGCGTTCATGCTGGGAGTTTTGCACATCTTTAATTTAGTCCATAAAATGTTGTAAATGAGATGTTTGACGCGGGACGGCACATTCTTTTAAGGAGATAATTACAGCCAGCTCGTTTTGTTATCGTCAGATTGAGAAGCCTCCTGGTGTCTGACAAAATGTTGACGAGCTGCTTCTCCTCGTGCTCTCCAGATGTGCCTGCAGACGGAGCGTCTGGGCCCTCGGCGGGTGGACAGCCTCAGGAAGGAGGATGAGGAGTGGCAGAGGAAGGCCCAGGCTGCAGTGCTCTCCATCCAAGACCTGACGGTCCGGTTCTTTGAAAGTACCACCCGAGCTCAGAAAGGTAAACAGCCGAGAGGTATCTGGGGAAATGTTGAGCGTTGCTTTAGCTGTGACCTTTGACCTTTCGTTGTTTGACCCTCTACATGAGCATCAACTTTATGGATTTAATTTTTCACCTTCATTACACCGAAAACTTACAGGAAGGTCAGGAAGAAAATCCGTTTGTGAACAAACATTTTGAAGCTGCTCCTTTAAAAAGTCTGTATGAACAATTAAGCAGCATGGGATACATTTTCATTGTTATGCTGATGACACTCAATTATATTTGTCCATTAAACCCAATGAATCCAATCAGCTACTTAGACTACAAGCATGTCTTAAAGACATGATCTGGACCGACCTGAATGACCTGATGAAGGTCGTTTAAATGATGATGACATCGATCTTTGCAGCAAGCTGCTAGAAGAGACGTTCGTGTTCAGATGATGTCGTTTCAAGTTAACGAGTTCGTCGTGCTGCTGCTGCAGATCCACTCTCTGTGAAACAACGTCCACACTCCGCTTTGTCCACTTGTCTTTTAACAACAAAGACATAAAGTTCCCACCAGGAGACCGCAACGACATGCTAGGCTGCTAATGTTACACGTGCCTCAAGATAATAGCGCCGTGCTGAAACACGCTTAGGAACTTTAGTTCCGCGGCGCATAATCTCTCATTAATAACATTTAATTAATGAAAAAATAACTGAAAGGGTACACACGTGGACCGAACCGAACGTACCGAACCAAAATGGTTCAGTACACCCACGTGCACCGCTACACCCCTAATATATATAAATATATATATATATATGTTTTTTTTAAAGAGACAAAAACAGCTACATTACAGATGTTTAAAGCCATTTAAAAAAATTTAAATACATTTATTCATTCATTTAATAGAAACAAAATAAACAAAACATTCATCAAAAAGAAAACATTGAATGAAAAGAGTTCAGAAAGAAGAGAAAAAATTCTTATATCTGCCCCTTATTTAAAATATATAAAATAACTTTAAACAATCACTTAAATTAATCACTTTAATATCCACTTTAAAACTAGGAATAAAAAGAAACATGTTTTGTGTTAGCAGAATTTAATTCTAACTTTAAAACTTATCCAACATTAATAAAACTTACCTCAAGTTGTCTTTTTGGACATGCATGCACAGTAGGGCTGCAACTAACGATTATTTCAATAATCGATCCATCGGGCGACCCCCCCCCCCCCCCTGGATTAATCGATTAATCGGCAAAGAAATAAAGCGTTTTAATTTCCACCCCTTTATTCCAAAATTGAACATTTGACTGACATAGCAATTCACAGAAAAACAGGTTGCTATTTGACTATTCTGTTAGTAAAATATTGAATCATAAAAAATAAAAGTTAGTCACATAGCTTAAAAAAATAAATGTACACAAAAATTTATACAAATGTGTCTTTATACCTGCACAATATGTAGCTACTTTGTAAAATGTGTCCTTGAGGGAAGAGTGTAACCTGGATTAAAAGTGTGGATTATTGTAACCTGGATTAAAGTGTGGATTATTGTAACCTGGATTAAAGTGTGGATTATTGTAACCTGGATTAAAAGTGTGGATTATTGTAACCTGGATTAAAAGTGTGGATCATTGTAACCTGGATTAAAAGTGTGGATTATTGTAACCTGGATTAAAAGTGTGGATTATTGTAACCTGGATTAAAAGTGTGGATTATTGTAGTGAAGCCTTCGTCTTCAACCATGGACAGAGGCCTCATGTCAGTGACGATCATGTTCAGGATGTTTCAGTGAAGACAGCTGCTGCTGTGGTGTCCATGATGTCTGTCCATCATGAAGGATGTTGTTGTTTGTTGTTGTTGTTTTCTGGAATGAGACAGTAAATATGTTTTATAGCATAATTTACAGCAACTCAAGAAATGCCTTGTTTCACTTGCAGTGTTAGGTTCAGGCAAAAGTAGCTAAAAGAGCAATCACACACACACACACACACACACACACATATATATAAAATACTTAATTACACACATTTGAGTAGAAGTAATAAATTACTTTAATTCCTGTTTAAATGCAATTCATCCTGCCATACCTGCAGTGTCTTCAGACTTTGCCAGCAAATTAAAAGTTGAAGCTTAATCATTAAATTATTATCTTTGTGTTAGATTTATTTATAAATCATATTTAAACACTGCTTGTACCAATTAAATTAAATAAAAAGTAACACACGTTCTCTATCACGTCATTAATCAGATAAACAAACAAACAAACAAACAAACAGCTTCATCTTCAGACAGACTGACGTTATGTTTTCTCTCTTGAAAAAGAACAAAGTGTTAAATTGTAGAGACTCACCTGCAACACATGAAGAGTTGTATCAGCTGCAGCTCCTTCCTCCTCCTCGTCACTCCCACATGTTTACGTTTATCTCCGTGGTTCTCCCGTGTCGTGTCGTCACTTTTCAAAGCTGCATGTTGCTCAGTTTTTATCTTTGTGAAGTTCTCCCACACTTTGGAGGACTTGGGTCGAACAGTTTTCGCTGCGTCGGTCATTTGTCAAATTTACTTAATTTCCTTTAAAAACAGCCTCTGCTCTGCCTCCTCCTCCCCCCTCGCTCTGTTCAAC